AACTGAAGTTTTTGAAATTTCCTTATTTTTTCCTTATTTTTGTCTCATACTTGTGAACTTTTTGCTTTTAATTGTCCTAAGAGTGAAATAGGCATCACATATTGAAACTAATGCTTTTCCCTTTGGTAAATAGAATAGTGAATACAATTTTTTTTATTTTTGAGTTAGAACTGCTCTTCAACTTGAAATAGGTCTAATCCTATAAATAAGAGAATTTGCATTTTCTCATTTTGCTTTTAGGGATTGAATAAAAGATTGAGCTCCCTAAGGAAATCTTTTGTCAGCCTGGCATGGTGCTTAGGATTAATGCCCTTGGCCTTGGTAACAAGGACTTCAGCTTTGTAATTCATCAGAAAAAAATCACCAAGTTTTCTGATGAAATATAAGAAGAAAAAAGAAAAATGCTCTCAACATTAAAGTATAAAATTATTGCAGCCTTATATGCAAAAAATGAGGGAAATCTAAGTCAGTGGCAGGCAAAAAAAAAAAAATCTAAATTAGAAAAGTCAACTCTATCTTTTAATAAAATATTGCCTGAAGATATATGTGTAGGTTTATGAAAAATACTGTGTGGCCAGGGACTTGCAAGCCCACTGTGTGCTCCTGAAATGATCTTCTCTGCTACATATTTTCCCAGGAAACCATTTATATAAAATAAGAGCAGAAATCTGAAAGGAGAAAATGGGTTGGATCAAAAAATTCAAGGGAGTGCTATGAAAAAAGGGACATGATGAGTAGCCCAGGAAAGGGTTCTTCAGGGGGCAAGGAAAACAGAGGTGGAATGAAATGCGTGTGGGACACAGTGGACACCATGGGGAAGAAATAGGTCACTGGAGTCACCTTTGCTGCACACGGTGTGGTGACATGAGAGAAAACTGTTTGCAGACTTCAGCTTCAGCAAAGTCAACAAGCAAATCACGAAGTGACAACTGAAAAGATACTCTAGATAGACACTGTCCTGGGTTGAGGAGGACATCACATACATAGAGATTTCAGAGGCTCACTGCAAGCGTGCCGAATTTCCTATCCTGCCGTGGAAATTTCAAAGCCTGAATATTTGCTCCACACAATGACACTTAGGTTTCAGGGGCAGGGTGGGGCCTCCGTGGGGGACTGTGATTGGTGCAAGTGAAATAGTGAGGGAGTCGTGCACAGCCAGGGCCCGGTGAGACAGCACAGCCACCCGCCGCGCGAGGAGCGGGCAGGGGTGTGCAGTTCCTGGGGAGCTGGTGGTGGGGAGCTCAGGGTTATGCATTGCTGGGTGCAAGAATTCTCTAATAGCGATTGTAACAAGCATGATGAAGCGCACACCTTCCAAAATAATAACAGGAAAGATAAAAGCAGGAGTATAGGCTGTATAACAAAGGGAAAAGGAAAAGGAAAATGAAGTGACAAGGTAACATGAATATATCAAATATGACAATGACTGCAAGGGTTGGAGTCTTTTTATTAAAAATGAGATTCTTGTTGAGAATCAAAACAAAATTCAATCAGGCTATTTTTAAGTAGCCACTAAGGCAAAGCATTGGAAAAATTCAAAGTGAAATGTTGAGCAAAGATGTATCAGGCTGATGCACTTAGAAAAGTACGTGGTCACGGTGTGTGACATGTAATAACAGTAACACAGAAGTGGAATATCGTGGGTGATATTTAGCATAAAGGTATGCAATATCTATGTCATTTAATGTTCATATTAACTCTAAGGTCCTCAGATGATGTCAAATCTCTGTCCAAAGCAATAATCAGGAAAAATATGGTAATACTATGGAACAATTATATGAACCAAGACTTAGTAAAAATTGTGAACACAAAAAGAAATGAATATGGGACACTTTTAATCTATCTTTCTTAGTCCTCTGACATCAAATAGGCAACACCATAAACAAAGAAGATCTAAATGTTATCATTTTTTTAAAGTATTTAGTACAAGGTCTTCAGGGTCTCACTACACAGATCAGACTCATAGTGATCCTCCTCTTCTCAGCCTCCCAAGAGCGCCACCATGTCCAGTCTCAGTCACTGTCTCAGCGTGCAGGCACTTTAATCTGCTGAGCTATCTGACCAGCCCGAAATGCTATAATCTTATAATAGTTCTAACCATAGCATTTTGATGGCAAAAAATATGAATAATCTGAATGTCAACAGTAAAAACAATGCATTTAAGAAATAAGATGAGGCCTGGGGCTGGGGATTTGGCTCAGCAGTAGAGCTCTTGCCCAGCAAGCTAGAAGCTCTGGGTTCAGTCCTTGGCACCAAAAACAAAAAATA